GTTCGCTCGGTAATCGCACAGAGAGAGACTCACAATCCAATATGTGAGTCTCTACTCCGTACACTAGACAGACTGCCAGAGTGCCAGAGTGCCAGAGAACCACATAATACCTCGCACGCGGCATTCCAGAATCTCAGTATCCCAGCAGCCCAGGCGCCTAGCAGAAAAAAGTGTGCCCATTTGCAACGAAAGCCGGAGAGCCTCCAGTCTTCCACATATCTTCCACATAACCTTGTCAAGTGGCGACCGCTTCTCACCTACCCACCTGTGCCACCGATTCCTATGAACACCGGGGGCCCGGTCAAAGAGCAAAGGGGCAACAACCGCCTGCGGCCCTCTGAAGGAACTACAGGCTCGCACGTTGAACTGGGGAATATCGAATGAGGTCGGGGAATCGGCAACTGTGGTCGACGCGAGAGACCATCTCGTCGTCCGATATCCGTATGGACCTCCTCCCTTTCAGTCTCCTCCCCCGGGATGTCCACAATGCAAGTGCCAGGTGCTTTTTTTTTTTTGTGATTTTCTCATCCGGCTTGTGCCCGGTACGCGGCATGTGCGGGTCTCGAAAGCATATAGCGCGACATAGCCTCGCCTCTAGAACATTGGAAACGCTCGATCGAAGCTCTAGCGTCTGGCTTGACATATCCACGTTGTCACGGTTGTCAAAAAAAATCACGAATACTACTGTGCTTCGTCGCAAGGGGCGAAACTGGTCGTGGCAAGCGCTAGCAACGCTCATGCGGCGGAAATAGCGGATAGCAGCAACACTGAGCGCAACAAAACGCATCAGGAGACATCCTTACAGTATTACCCATCACCGACGAGTGTACGGTGTGACACGTTGTAGTTCGAAAGCGGTCTGCCCTCACCTTGAATCCCGAATTAGAAGTTCTGTTTCGAGGAGAGCCGCCGGACGTGCTGCCCTTGCTCCCTTAACCCTTACTAGGGCGGTGCGCGTACTCGTCTTGCGCTCCTTGATGCGACAGAATAGGGGTTCTGTTTCGGCTAGAACAATTCATAGTCTTGTCTCTGCTGCATTCCCTCCCCCAATCCGATCGCCAGAAGCCATTCTACGTGGTTAGTTGCCAGGCCATTGCGCGTACTACGTATGTCGGCCGGGGAGTTCCCGAAACAGTCATGCCATGGCAATGCTGCGTATTGTTCACAATGTGTATCTACAAGTATACGGAGTACTCCAGAGTGAACTGGGGTTCCCCTAAACAATCTCCATGTAACTCTCGTTCTTTGCACAACGCGAGGCAGGTTGGCCGGGTTTCTTGACGATAGTTTGAAGAATGCTAGAGTTCATAGACACGTGAAAGTTTGAGAGCGACTAAAACCTATGTCAAGATATGGCGGCCAATCTCGCATACGGGCATTGCGACCGGAGCTCATCTCCCAATTCATAGACGTAGTCTATCTTCTGGTTAAAAGTCCGGTAGAATGCCGCCTCCGGGTCTGTCAAGGATGGCTGTTCTTGGAGTTGCGCATTGATAGTTGCCGCAAGCGGAACCGCAATTGTCAACTACAACGAGAGGCGGAACGCGGAACGGGTGCGCTCGACCGTTGGCATCGTCTCTGTAGTTCTCAGTCGTTCATAAGGATTGTGATGGCTGCATAAAAGTCCAGACCCAAAGATCACGATTACTGCTTATGACGTCAATCTGACTTGACAAGTTGCAAGACCCTCTGTCGAATTTACTTGAGTCGTGAACTGTTAGCAAATGACGCAATTGCATCTTGAGATAGATATCCGTACTGCAACGCTGCTTCCAATCTCTCACAGCTAGAAAAAAAAGTCCGCAAGCCCTCCGCAACCCGCGGGGGACCCACCCGGAAGAGGACCGCGTCGTTGGAAAAGATTGTGATACACGGCCGTGGGACCCGGGGTTGAGGCTGGTCAGGAGTCGTCCCTTCAAAGCCGTGAGATTGGCCGACGCTGGCGAGATGAACTTGACGAAAGCTCCATGATCGGCACCCGGCCGAGATGTCATATCGAAGCATGTTGAATCAGTCGGTCCTTTAACTCAAAGACTGTCGTCATACCTAGGCTTGACTGAGTCGTAAAGGGCTTCCGAGTTGCACATCCCGGACGTGAGGCGTCCTTCAAACCACGGACCGGAGATGCTGCCTGCCATTCAAAATGACAATTTGATATTGCAGGAACATCCATCGTCGATATTGTTACGATCCCCTTGCCTGCCGAAATAGGGAGACGCATGGCTCACCTCGCCGGCAGGCTGGTTCACCTCTGCACGGTGCCCCAAAGTTGCAACACGGAATACAGATTGGGCTTGCGAATTTGCCCTCAATCTCTTAGCCATCGCAGCCACAAATGAAACAAGCAAGGCTGGAGCTGGAGACAATGACCCGAACGACAGATCAGACGAGCTGTATTCCCGACGCTTCTCGCGCCAGTTACTCGAAAAACAGGCCCCCCGACTGCCCCCCCACTTGGAGCCGGCAGAAGCCCTGCTTTTACAAGTCTGTCCCGGTGCAGGGCATAACTGCATTCTGCTTGCTGGCACAAACCCGAACCGATTCGCTTATACCGTACACTGTACGGATAGGGGCGTCTTGGAGTGGTGTGGCACAGGGCAGCCCTACTCAGCTTCAGGCCTCAGCTTAGAAGCAACCGCGCCGAGTGAGTGGTGTGGCCACCTAGCGACGTGTGTCCCTTCAGATGCTTGCATAACTATTGTGTAACCGTACGTAACGAATTTTCGAGAAGGAATTGCCTCAACCTCTCATATACGGTCGGGCATGGGTTCGCATACCGCTCCCACGTGGACTATCGTGGGTCTGCTGTTCGAGGTGGAGATTTGACGCGACCTCGTCATGGTTCGCCATGTTATCCAAAGCAACTGAGTGATCGTGAGCCTATGTAGCCGAAGGTCTGTCTCTGCTGAACAAGTAGCGGCGGCGGCGGCAGCGGCCACGGCGTCTTTCTCGGAAAAAGACGATAGGTTTGCTATTTGACCAACGCTGTCACTGCTGCGTTAGGGCGCGGTCGACGGGAACAAATGCTTCCATGCCAGCTGTGTTCGTAGCGTCTTGGTCCAGCTGTCGCTGCAAGATGACTGGTTTCCTAATCCTTGTAATCTCGGGGATATTTCGACTTGTCGACTCAAGCGGCCTGGTATCCTATCCAGCTGCACTAGAAGCACTGTGCCAAATCGAGCAGGCAAAGACCCTGATTCGATGGAGCGATCCCAGGGTGTCGCCGTACCGCCAACTCGCAAAGGCCTCGTGAGGGGTATTTGGAGCAGGAAACACACCTGCTCGTGTCAAAGCCTGACTAGCGAAAAAGTTGGGATTCCCGGCCGGCACTTTTGTGAGTACGTACTTCCGCTGAGCGGAACTGGATGGACATGGGCTCACGGCTTCCGAGCTGTCCTTCGGATACGAGCGAGTCAGAGCTTGATAGTGTATGGTAGTTTGGTGACGGTGACAAGCCAACTCACGGATGGCTAGAATTCTCTCCATTAGTGGGCTGATAGAAAGGAAACGTAACGTCTGCGCCTAGTGTAGTACAGAACAAAAGGTCGGAAGCGTCGCGATCTGTTGACGTAGTTATCCATCATGACTCGCGTCAGGTAAGGGAAAAAAGCCACCCCTGCTCGTCATTTTGCAAGACCTGCGCAGCGTGCATTTGATTGTTTAGGTAGCCTCGAAATCTGCCAGCCTCTCTGCGAATGGCGGTCAATAAGGGTATGGTATGCGACGGCGATTTCCGCCGTTCTGAAGTCCGGCCAGGGCGTTGGGGCAGATGAAATCAGATAACACCTCCGCGCGAGAACATCAGTCTCATCGAGCTTGTGCCGCACAGCAGTAGGGTTCTCAGCTTAGGCCTGCGGCTGCCATCTCGACGCAAGGTGGTGGTTGACGGTGGAGTCTTCAGGGGAACCGCAAAACAGCCTCAACTCTGTTGAAGCCACGCGGGAGACCAGCCAAAAGATCCACCGAGAACGCGCTTGTTCTTCGAATGGAGGGTCCCGACTCCCTGATGAAGATGCTTGAGATCCCGCTGCTGATGAATCTCCAACTCCAAGACAGCCTCCTCCAGGAACACCAAAGGGACTAGGTTGCTAGAACCACATGCCCCGCAAAGAAGGCTGGACGACCGTTGTACGGAGTATACCATCCACAAACCGAAGTAATGGATAGCAGGAGGCGGAGAATTCATGAATAGGTTCTTTGAACGTACGACCAAAAACACGCTCTCAGCCGCGAGCGTGCGCTAATTACCGCTCAAGCTGGAGGAAGACCGCAACTCCCTTCGAGAGTGAGATCGATTCCAGCAACCTTGAACTTGCGGCGCCTACACTTGCCATTGCTGGAAGAACTTGGCCAGCAGGGATTTTCTCTCTCTCTCTCTCTCTCTCTCTCTCTCTCTCTCTCTCTCTGGCGCGACAAACCGCTGGTAGCTGAATAAACGATGATGAGTTGATCCGAAGGACGGGACTTCCATCAGACCGAGGCACTGACGCGAACCCCTGTCGAGATCGCCAGCCACAACTCAGCATCGGTTTACCTCACGAAGCAAACCCCGAGTCGTCTTTCAGGGATCTGCCGCAAGGAGATGCTCTGGTTTCGGTTCTCGCTCGCTGTGCGCGTAGCAACACCTATCGCCTAATGGTACGCAATTTGCGCATCCTAATGTACCTGTAACATGACCCAAGCCGTCGCAGCTGGGATATTTGTTGCAGTTCGGAGAGAGCCCGCCTTCACTCGACTTTTCCACGATCTGATCGATGCTGTCAGTCTCTTCCTTCCCTCACGTTGAGAGAGTAGTCGTTGCAGCCTTGTTGGGGGCCGCGAATACAGCGTGGGACTCGTCGCATCGTAGCTTCGTCACACAAGATTAGCGGACATGAGTTCCCAATTTGATCGAGCTAGACCGTAACCAGTTACATTTGTCATCTCTCTCGGCCGATTGTAGGCTGGCAATAAGCTTTGGTCGCCATATGCCAGCGGGAGAGAAGTGGTGCTGTTCGGAGCTAGGTGTGAGGTGGTGGTCGATCGCGGACGCGAGATTCGCACATGGATGATGGCAGAATGCTCACAGCTTGCACGCGGAACAGTGACTCCATAGTGGTACCGGTAGACACGGTAGGAGCGTCGGACGGAAGCCGCTTCATGGCGTTTGTAACTGTCGGATATCTCTCCGCTCCCGGCCTACAAGCCAAGCCTCTTGCGAGTTCTCTGCTTTCCTCTCCTTTGAACCTTGATGCCGGAACCAGGCCAAAGCACGACGTCCTGAAGTATCCCATGGCAAGCATATCTCTCGATCGGGGGAAGTTCGGACACAAAAAAATCTCTGCACCCTCCCAGGGCTTATGATGCAAGCGTGGCGTGAGTGATTCGTCACTAAGAATTGGCTTGCAACAGAGTTTGGAACACATCAGGATTGAGGAAAATTACAGCGCCACCGTCTGATGTCAAGTTATCGAAGTCGTACATCTTGATGATGGAATCTCGAGATATGGCCAAAGCTTCCGGATCCTGTGCTTCTAGAAGAGAATAATGGGGACTTGGAATACCGGTAAGAAGGGTTGAATGGGGCCGTGGACCCTCACTTCACCGTGCTCGAGCGTCATCGTCCCACGATTCTCGAGCTGTCCAATGCGTACCACGGCGTCCCTCGCGTTCAGAGAAATGCGGCCAGCGACGCCACCTAGCCTGGGGTGTGAGGAGGGGTTGCTGCCAGGTAGCTGAATGTGAATGAGCTATGCCGAAGAGCCGGGTATAGTCTGCGTACTGGCTGGTACCTAAGTCGCTACTTCTTGCGCTGCAACCTCGTTACCCAAGTTGGCCACCAGCTCAGCAAAGCCTCCAACTTTCTCAGGCGACTATTGCTAGCAGCTCCCCCCAACCGTGCACTGTAGATGGTGCTGAAGATGCACGGTGAAGAGCAGCGTCTCCGACTACGGCCCCCAGCCAGCGTCGTGTCATTTGTGATTCGAACTTCAAATTGACGACCGCGTGATGTGGTGTCTGATCAACACACTCTCGTATCCCAAGGCAGAAGAGAGTCGGAAGGGGAAGGCAGTTTGAGGAATCAGGATTGTTCTCGGGTCCTGCAATTTTTCTGGACTTCGTGTATCCCTGTAAACTGATGTGGTCGGAGTGGCTGGGGAAGCTTGCGTAGTGGGTGTATGTACTACGGTTGAATTGCACAGTACAAGTGAACGAGCTTGCTCTCGAGCCAGCAAAAAGTACCGCGCCCAAACGGAAACCAACGTCGATACTCTCAGGGGAAAAAAGCATTTCCGCTGTATGCGACATGTGTCGTGTCGAGTCACGTCGCGGAATGCTGGACTGGGTTGCCAAAGTTGAACATTCTTTTTGGGCTCTTCGCATGCCATGTCACGACGTCAATCGAGCTGTCACTTTCTGATATCCGCAGCCCGCAACAAAAGGAGTCTGTGGTCATGGCTGAGATGGGTCCAGTGAGATCGATCTCTGTGCCCCGTTCTCCATCATCTGAGATGGCCCCGTCCCGTTGTGAAAGTGATGCGAAAGATGCCCATTGGATGGCGGGCGCGGGTAGAGATGGGGCGTGAGGCTCTTCTGGTTCTTCTTTGGGGCATCCAAAAGAAACGTCCATGCTGCAACTACTGATGATTGAACCGACAACAGTAGACATGTTTTAGACAATCGTTTTAGTAGCGGTGCCTGTGCATTTCGACTCATTCTTCTCAACCTCGGCGCTGATGCCACGAAAACTAGCCGGCGTTTGACAGGCGGGCGCCATGATAGACGGTCGATCGGACATAGGCGACTATTGCTGACAGCGAAGCGGTGACTCGGCCAAAGTCCGATTTTCTTGCACGGAAATGTATGTTTTGGAGCCGTTTCGCTTGACTCGTGGATCCTGCACAACATCCCCCAACATCCGTCATGAGGTAACAGTAGCCTTGTGTTCCTCGCACACAGTATGTCTGGAGAGGCGGCAAAAAGAGGTACGAAGACATAGCCGTGTGCTGACGGCAATTGCTCGTCCGCTGGACCGGTGGGGGATTTCTTCTGCGATACTGTACATAGAACGGGTGATTGTGCGCGATATTGCTTCTGACCTTTCCGTATCGTTATGCCAAGAAAGACATGGAACCGTAGTTATACCTTGGCTCCTCGCCATGAGCGCGCCAAGGGAAATGGACAGCAAACCTTGATATTGTGTCTTCTGATCATCAAGAGCTTTCCCGGCGGTTGTCCTAATCTTTCATTATCGTACGCTGGCCCCTTCCCCCTGGGACAGGACCGGAAAACCCAGGACAAGTAGCGTGGTAGCAAGGTTTGCCCAGCCTCCTTAGTTCAAAGCCGTCGAACCACTGGGTTTTGTATGTTCTATAGAATTTCTGGACTCGGGTGCTCAGCTCGACGAACAAGGGGTTGCCTTGCTTCCAGATGATTGATACTGCCGCTGCTGGACTATCGTGAAATTCCAAGGCTGGATGGCATGATGGCTCGAAACAGTAGTTTTGGACGATAGGTGACGGTAAACTCGCGAAGCCCGAGTGGCTATACCAAATTGATTCATGCTTGTTGCGATCAGTAAGTGCACAAAACAGACGGAGTGGCAGGGACAGCTGGCAATACTTGACAGCTGGGCAGCTCACCGCGGTTGATCCTGTTGCTTGCTGCCCTCCGTGTTGCACAGTACGAATATAGAGTGTGATTGGGACGCTTCGGTCTTGGTGTCCGAACATTGCCCTCAACAGAACATGCCAAAGAATTTTGACATACGTCATACTGCCAGAGTGAAGGAAGTGTGATGACTGGGAGGGTGCGGCGGTTACGCCTGCTGTGAACTGCCGTAGCGAATCATCCAGAGTAGTGTAAGCTCCTGTCTAGCCCATCAGAAGCCATCGCCCATCTATTTCTCGACGGTGCCAGACGATTCGTGTTCGTAGCAGCGTGACCCTGCATGCTCTTGGAGGCCAGGAGACTCGTTGATAACGCTTGGCGTGGAGGTTCATAGTGTCTTCGTCGGTACTCGGCCCCGAGGACTCCGCTTTCCGCTATTCGTACATCGTCGTGATGTATCCGTACTTGTGCAATCGGCGTGATGCCGGCCGCATTGGACTGTCAAGATTGAGTCGACCCATATGTCGAGTAGGCCGCTCGGAGCTCGTCCGCACTCCGGCCACCGGACATGTTTCCCTGACCACTCCAAGGGTTTCTTATTTCTTTCGCGTGCAGGCTGTTGCTGCTGCACACTCGGGATGTCAGAACGAGCCGACCATCGCCTGTACATCCGTACGGCTAGGAGCCTAATATCAAGGTTGACTTGTGCGCGGTTTTAATGTACCGCGTATGCAGCCACATCCCTGACGCGTGTTTTTGTTCTGCAGCAGACAGACAGCAGGTGCTGCCAAGAGGAGTTCCCGAATGAGAAGATAGGTCTGAATGCCGCCCAGTATCCCACGCCCAGCGAGCATCTGCATGGTTGGTGCATCCACAGAGCAGGGGCAGATCCTCGTAAGATGCAGCTGGCGGGTACCTCGGATCTCGAGGCGGCGAGCAAGGCAGTGGGCAGCAAGGTGCCCTACCCTGCCCTGCCCTTTTCAGGTACCCATACATTGAGCGTGCCGTGGCCGGACTGCAGCAGTGCAGAGTAACGATACCACGTCGATTCGCGTGCGGCGGTCGTGACGCTTGCAGGGTTGGCAATCGTCTCATCAATTTTGGGCGAGCATGGTCAGAGAGGTTTACCTTGTCCAATTGGAAGGACACCCATGGCCATGAACCGTTGGAAGCGGCGGGTTTTCCGTGCGTACTGTACAGAGTAGCAGCATGGTTTGTAATCTGTCTGGATGGTCAATGTCGGTGATGAGAGCTCGTGTGGGTGTCGTCCAAGATAATTTTGATGATTGTGTGGCCACCTAGGCGGTGCGACATGGATAGTCCAGGTTGTCAGCAATGTGAATGAGCGACGAAGCTCGCGCTGATGATAGGATTAGCAGGGGTTGACGTAATGATTAGTGTTTTCCCGGCGGCTTTTGGGTGTAGGAAAGGCCGCCAGAAGACGAATTGGAGCGATTCAACCGCGTGTATCGTGTGTCGTGGGTGTGTCAAGTGCATTGTAACAAGAAAACAGCCGGGCGGCATCCAAGGAAGGCCGAAATACGGAAAGCTAGCAGAACCCCGAGAGGATGACAACGCTGTTTCGAGTAGCTGTGCGTTGGCTGTGGTGGTGATGAGAGAGCGACACGATATAGTATGATATGTTGAAGTGCAATTGGCAGCATTAAGACAAGAATAAGGGTTCATCACATCTACTGGCGCGTGCTGGCCTGCAGGTGGAATCCAACCCGGAATCCACCCACGCACGTACGGTATCCTCATGATGAAGAAACGGGAGTTGGGGAGGGGAGGGGTCTTTTTTTGGGGGTGGACGGCGTAAGGTAACGAGACGGGACGAGGAGGGGTCGAGATGGCGGGCGGGCGGCTGCTCCTTCTGGCGGATACTTTACCTGTACTTCGTATGTTCCTTGGGTTTGGGGAAGGAACCTCACCATCCATCGTACCCGTGGGCCATACCTACCTTACAGGCCACTTACTCTAGCTGACGGTAATCGAGAGGAGCATGGTCGTGGGAGACTAGGACCACATTCGCGGGAGTGCATGCTGCAGTCTGCACAGGGCATGTCTCTTTTTGGGGGAAGAAGCCACTGAATGACACCGCCAGCAACGTGTCAGCGTGGGAACCACAGCGGCACAGCGGTAGTGCCAGGTGGGATAGTTCGGGGCGGGTGGACCCTAAGGTAGGAAGCAAGGTAACTTCTGAGGTGCGATGGTGGACGTTGTTCACTGTTAGGCCCCGAGGGAGGGGGGGGGGGGGAGTTACTGTGTAAAGATGGATCTCTAGCCATCTTAGTTGGGTCGGATACATGGCGGGAATGGTGGTGGTAGGGTCACTCGGCTGTCTGGCTAGGGCAAATGTTCTACTCCGTACACAGAGTACCTACGAACTCGAGACGTACTCATACCGAACCCGGGGGCTGGGAAGGGTGGTGGATGCTTTCTTGCTGGTTCGGGGCAAAGACGCACGAGGAACGACAACCAGGACGGGGACCAAAGGAATTGGGGGAAAAAAAGGGGGGTCATGGAAGTATTGGAAGAATTCGAAGAAAGGAAATAAAACCGGGACAAGACTCGAGCAAGTTCATGTTCCCCGTCGACAAGGAAGGAGCCACAAATGCTCGGCAGGCACAGATTAGCATCGAGTAAGAAGTACGGACGATGAGTACGAAACCACGAAGAATATCCGTACTGTGCCTTCCCTCGCTGGAATCGCCTCAGGCTCTTACGATATAATCCAATCCAATGCGACACGACACAACACAGTGGTGCAGGTGCAGTGAGCCAGCGTGCCAGGCCTTTTGCTCAAATGCGGTTTCATTTTCAGGAAGGTGTGCGGATGCGGAGTTCTTTCCGCCCATGCTCACGGCAAACTGGCAATAGAAAGACATGGCAAGCGCCAGGGCAGGGCATCTTAAGCAAGGAAGGCGGACAGACAGACGCTACTACCTTGGCTTAGCACGGCATGGTTGGCATGGCATGATACCGCCGCAGGAGAACCGTCTTGAAGAAACGTACGGAACTCTGCATGTACCAACCACCAAGGTACTGACCTGTTAGGTTTGCTGTCGCCTTCACCTCCCTGAAATCGTGCAAAAGGCTGTCATCTGGATGGTAATGATGAGAAAGTTTAAATGTCCCGTCCTTGTTTTTGCGACTTTTTTGTTCTTCCTTTTTTCCTTTTGGGAGCTATGAAGGCTGAAGTCATGAGATACCATCGAGGGGAGGGTTTCCCTGGAGGATTGGATCAGCGTTTAATAACGAACCTACCGCGAGGCATGTAGCATTGCTCGGGGAATTAGACTCATATTACGGTAAAAGCAGACGGTGAGACAAGTGACTCGATACCAACTAAACCATTCGATCATTACTCGCCAACCTAGGTATGCACTACTCAGTCACGATGTAGATACGGTGAGGTGAGGTAACTAGAAAAGAGCGCACAGAAAAAAAGATGATGTGCATCCGACCGTTTATAGTCAAGGGGAACATGGCAGCGTCGAGCATAATAATATAGCAGTGCATAGCCCGGTCGATCTAATGCAGGCCTTGACAATGCTATGCCTGTTTCTCTCTCCCGTCAATCTCTACTTTCTCTCTCCCAGTCATCTCCCTCTCGTTAGGTTGTGAAGCGCCAAACTAAGGTGATACCGCACGCAGGCTTACCTCCTGCGTAGATACCTACCCGTTCCAGACATGAGCAGCGGAAAGACGGTGGTTGAGGAGGTACCTTATTCCAAGGTAGCTGCGATACCGGGTGCACCTCAGGTCGAAAGGAAAACGAAAAAAGGGTTCGCGCCCTGTTGCAGACCAGAGTAACGGTAGGCGTGAACCCTGTGCAAATACTGACAGGTTCCCTCGGCTAGGTATCTTGTTCCGTACCGCCTTCCTCAGGCGAACAGACGTGAATGGATTACTAGGTGTAGCTAGTTCGATTTTTGACACTCGCCTGCACAATGGACGTCGACCGAACCAAGCACCCAAGTTCGCATTACCTCACCTTTTTCTCCCATTCCCTCCCGTGTTGTCTTGTTTCCCAGCACACACCACCGTCTCTTGAATCGCGTACCTCAGGTATTCCTCAAGGGCCTCGTCTCTGCGTTTACTACGGGCATACACCGTAGATCTGACCATACAGTGCTCGCCCTGTGTACATCGAACGTCGGGTCTCCGAGGCAGGCGTGCCCAGGCAGACGCAGGCATTGGCAGGCGCTTCCTCAAAATTTTCTCAACTGCCCTTGGAAATCAGGACGGAACATGGGTGCTTGTACCTTCCTGGCTTGCTGCGCAGCTGTTGTCGTCTCGTCGCGCGGTCTCTTCCCGTCTCTCTCCTTCTTTTGCGCGGTCCTGGGCTGTCTGCGTAATTTATTCTTCCTTCTGCGTGTAGGTGTGCCTAGTAAAGTTTCCTTCTCTTTCGGAATTTCCTGCCTTTTGCCTGCCACCTCTCACTTCTTCTCTGTCCATTGAGCCCTGCCCTCTTGTTCGTCTTCGTCATCAATCTGCCGCTTACCTATTCTTTGACGGCACGGCTGACTCTGACTCGACCAAAATTCCATCACCGAGAATCAGTCCTCGAAACGGGACACACAGGCAAGAATCCGGCAAATCCTCTGATATTTATTACCTTAGCCCCAAAGTGGATTGAGTGCAAAAAAGGAAAGAAGCCAAACGGGTCACCCTCCCACGTCCACCTCCCACACCTTCCAAGTCACCCACCTCACTGATTTTCATTTTCGCATCCACACACACCCCCCCAAAAATTTCATACCGTCCGCACCTCACTCAGATGCTTTGATCTTGGACCGCGGTGACCTCCAACTTTCTTGTTCTGCTTCGGCCAAGTCTTCTCTTCTCTATTCTACCACCCAAGAAGTCGAGGTACTCGTTGAACCCTACCTAACCTTACCTACTCGACAACGCGAGCAGAAACACAAGCAACTTGCCATTCGCAGTCACCTGCATCGATACCGTACAGTATCGGAGTATCCTACCCTTCGTGCCTTCCTTGCACAAAAAGGAAGAAGAATCCACCGGTACACCACCATCCCACCCTGGTCTGCTTCCTGCCCACCTTTCCCTTCGTCACCTACCGATCCATTATCCGTCAACCAGGATTCCGACCAACGGCCAACCTCCCACACTTTCTCCGAAAAAGGCCCTTCACCAAGACCAAGCCGGATCCACTCCTCCCAGAAGGGGCGACGTCCAAATCCACTTCTTCCCTTTTTTCCCCCCTCCACCTCTTTGGACGGAGTGACCATTGCTCAACGGTTCCTGCCTCTCACACCCTCGGCACCCACCCCGGCAAGACCACTTTTTTCCTTCCCACTCACACACCCCTCTTTCACACCCCTCTCGGCGGCACCAGGTACCTGACAGCTTTTTTTTTTTCTTGCCGAAGAGCAACGCGAGAGAAAAAAAAATAAAAAGGATCGGGGCCCATCTGCTCCACTCCCGACCCTCCCCAAAACCACCTCCAAACGGGATCAACTGGAGCCTCATCCCACCACAGAAAGTCCACCTTACAAACAACACCTCTCAGCGCGTGTTGTCTTCTTTGGGTTCGCGACTTCCTTCATTCGTCTGGCGGAAAGCTTATCCTGAAGAACTTCTCGACTGTGCATCACTACACTCGAGTTTACTTCTCTTTTCGCCCTTGCATCATCATCTCAACTGGGTCGGCGACTTGACTGTCCTTGTCCCACAAAATTTTTACACGAGACCCTCGACGAGTCCCGTAAAGACAGACGTGAGAACGCGTCTCGATCTCGCAACAAGCAAGCTGCTCTGTGCGCCTTTGTCTCGACAAAAGGCCAACAGACCTGCCGCGGATAGCATGGACGCTTCCCAGTACCCTACCAATGGTATAAACACGACCTCGGCCTCCTACCCGTCGCCCCCCGCCATCACGCCTCATCAACTTCAGCACACCAACTCCCCGCTGCCTCACCAGACTCTGCCGCCTTTGCAGCCGCAGACCTCCGCCGCCATGAACCAAATGTACGGCAGCAACCCTCACACACCTCGCACTCCTGCGACGCCCAACACTCCGGGCTCCCAGAACAACATGCCGCCGTACCAGCCTCAGCAGCAGCAGCAACAGCAGCAGCAGCCTCGCGGTCCCTACCAGCAGATGGGCCAGTACCCTCCCCCGCCTCAGGCGTACGGCACTCAGTCCATGCTGCCCCAGACCACGATGGCTTCTTCTCACCCGCAGCCCATCGCGCCTGCTCCCGCGTCTGGACGCGTTCCTCCTGTCCTGCGTCCCATGCCTGCTGGTGGTGTCATGCCCCAGCCCGGTATGAACTCTCCCTACGGCCCCGGCGGTGTCATGCCCGGTGGCATGGGCGAGGCTGACCAGCCCACGCACGTTGTCGGCTCTCAGGGTCGCCGTGGCATTCTCCCCAGCGCTCCTGGCCGCCCTGCCGCTACTCCCGCTGGCGCCGGCAACACCAAGAGCACTGTGATCCCGGTCAAGGATGCTGATGGCAAGTTCCCTTGCCCTCACTGCACCAAGACCTACTTGCACGCGAAGCACTTGAAGCGTCATCTTCTGCGCCGTAAGTCATAACCCATTACTAACTCACGCAGCTCAGTCCCTTTACTGACGCGGATTGCGAATAGACACGGGCGACCGCCCCTACATGTGTGTGCTGTGTCGCGACACTTTCTCGCGAAGTGACATTCTCAAGCGTCACTTCCAGAAGTGTTCCATTCGCCGAGGTAACCCGACTGGTGCTAGTCACTTGTCTCACCCTCAGGCTCATGTCAAGAAGAACGCTGCTGCGCAGAAGGCGGCTCTTGGTCAGGATGGCGGTCTGAACCACCTCAATGGTCTGGGTAACATGCCTGCGGATGGCATGGTTCAGCCTTTTGGTATGATGCCTGTGTCGGACGGGATGAGCAACCTTGCGAACGATCAGAGTCAGTTGTCGCGCGCCAGCAGCCTGACTAGGCTTGATAATGGCAGTAACCAAGACAGACGGGATTTGACAGGATCTGTCATGGATGCTTCTGGCCGAGGTGGCAACTTCGAGCAGGCATACAACGGCAATGTCCCTAGCTCCATGACGCCCAATATGAATCAACAGATGCAAAACTACAATATGCCCCCGGGTCAAAATGGAATGTCCATGTATGGCGGGTCGAACTCGAACCAACAATCGGGCCTTGATTGGTCTCAAATGTTCCAGGCTGGTGCGCAACAAACCTACGCAAATCATACTCAATTCCCCCCTAATCTTGGACAGACGCAGATCGCAACCAAACCAGAGCCTAATACCGGCGTTGAAAGTACAGAAGGTCCGCTTGGCCACTCCAACCACCCCGATTCCCTATTTTTCTCGACCTGGGACGTGCCGCCATCGATCCAAGACCCTTTTACCCATCTCTCCAACCAGATCCTCAACTTTTTTTACCCTCCAGGTTCCCCGATTACCGATGAAAGCGCCGGCTTCAACCTATACTTCTCCGCCGAAAACATACGCGACTTCTTGGAAAAGTACACTCATTTCCATGTCCATTTTCCCATTCTCCATACACCCACCTTCCGTATCATGGAAGCCTATACTGGCCTGTTGGCTGGCATGTGCTGCATGGGCGCCTGTTACTCTGACCGTCTTTCCCCAGATCACGTGCGCGATATGATGAACTTCCTCAAGTCCGCACTTGTTCGCGACGTGCAGTTTTTGGCCAACTCGGTGGGCCAACAGCAGAATGGTAACGCTGACGCTGGTGCCTCAAGTAACGGTCATCGCGACCTTGAGCAACTCCAAGCTGTGATGCTGCTCCAAATTCTGCTGATCTGGAATAGTACACCGCAGCACCGTGAGAGCGCTCGTGAGATTTTCCCAGCCACGGCGGAGCAGACTCGTCGTCTTCGCCTGTTGGAGGTCTCCACCAGCACGCCCCTCTTCAGTCCGCTGCACCAGAGCAACTTTACCCCTCAGAACTTCGATGTCTCCACATTCGATTGGGGTGTGTGGGTTGAACAGGAAAAGCGGATACGCCTGATGCACATCATCTTCCTCTGCAACTCCGCCATGGAACTTTATTTCAACGCCCAGTCTCAACTTGACAGCTTCGAGATGCACATCCCGCTGCCATCTGATGATGCAGCGTGGGACGCACGGACGAAGAAGGATTGCGAGGATGCTCTGGGCTTACACGGAGATGAGTTGGCACAGCAAAAGAATCCAAATGGAACACGGCGCAGCAAGCAACCGGAAATGGACTATGCTCTCCAAGCTTTGCTTCACGGATCCTACCAGATTCAGCCAGGCAGAACGAATCTTTACGGAAAGTTCATCTTGATTCACGCCATCCTGTCCTTGATTCGACGAGCTCAATTGGACGGTAGTGCCGTGATGAAGGGTTACGCGACTCCACCAATGAGTGACTGGATGGTGAATGGTGGATCAGATAACGGCATCAGCAGCGGCAGGGCAACACCTGTCGATCCCGCTTTGCAGGGCATTCCGGTACATGTGCACGAATCGTTCCGCATGGCCCTCCAAAAGTTCAAGACCAACTGGGATACCGACATGGTCAACCAATTTCCTCCTGGATCAGCGAAGAACGTCCGTAGGTATGGTTTCTCTAGGGACGGCATCCATTTCTACTGGCTTGCTAAGTACCTGTTAAAGCATACCCGGTCATCAGAGCTGCAGATGGAGTCGGACGCGCGTTTCATGCAGGTGATGCAATTATTGAAGTCGGTGAAGGCATGGGTATTGTCGGATGGGGCGTCTAGGGGTGAAGATATGGGATCGGTTGGAGAGATCGACAAGGATTTTGGAGTGTCGAATCTGACACTCGACATGGCGCGACTTTTCAAACCTCTTCCGGCGGTGGTGGAGGATCCAGGAATACCTTCTGTGCAAACGAACATCGGCACAACGGGCGGCGGCATGCTTTGACATTCACAAAAAAAACCTACTGCATTTGGTCGGCGTTTTGTTTCTTTTTACTCATTTTCATCTTTTTTGTCTTGTTTCCTCACGGATCCGTTCTCATCAACTCATATGCTTTGTTGCGGAAAAGCATCTCGATTCCCTCTTGCATCAAAGCCGGATTGACGGTGGTTACTTCTGATATGCATCTTGTGGCGGGTGGTTTCATGCGATAGACGGGGAGGTGGAGTTGGCACTGCATTAGACTGCGATCAGATAGAACTTGGGAGGCTCTCGGGTGGCACCAGCGGTGGCCCGATGAGGTTGTCACGATATTCATGGCTTTTCGCTCATAATGACTTGTTTCGGCGGTTTGCGTGGCTAGGCTGGTCTGGTCTAATGTTAGATGTCTCAAAATGGGTGGTACTCGTCCTTTTTATCGCGACAACGAAGAAAAAACAAACGAGATGCAGAGGCAACACTGCCAGCACAGTTTTTTTCATTGTTCTTTTGAACTAGTAGCATGAACTTAGACATTAGAATCTGCAAAAATCGACTTGACTGTATAAACTCAACAACCAACCACCTTGGCCATGCCTATATCCTACATCCGGTGAAGACTGTCTCTAAATCACTTAGATAATGGTGACACCATGTTTTCCGTCCTCAATAACAAGATCCAATCATCTTCTTCCCCGAGTAATGGACGCCCTGCTCACCCGCTCACTCACTGACTGGACTCGCTTCATTCGGACCTATCGACGACGGTGACCTTTGGGACGTACTTGTCGACCACGGCCTTTTCCTCGGGCGTGGGCTGGTACTTCTCCTCGGCCCGGTCGGAGAAGTAGAGGCCTGCGCCGCCCCAGGCCAGGACCGCGACGCCGAAGCCCAGGCGGGTCTTTGGGGTGAGGTTCTTGTATGCCCTGTAGGTGCCGCGTGGGGGGTCTTGTGAGTATGGTGAAGGGTTTAGGTTCCCGAGTTTGGGGGCCGTGGGAAAACGAGCGGGGACGGGGGGGAGGAGAGGAGAGTGGAGGTGAGGTGATGGGGCTGAGGGCTAGGGTCCCGTGGCGTGCATGAGCTTACTTGAACATCTGGTCTTTGGCGAGGCCGTGGAGGGTATGTGAGATGGAGCGAGAATGAGGATTGTTGGCGGGTGTGGTTGAAGGGGGTCCTGCGTAGAGAGGATACGGCGCTTCCAACCCAGCTTCTGAGGGAAATTCCGCCAAAAGAGGTATCGATATGCAAGGTAGACACGAACGTGGATTTTCCCGCTGATGAGATTTCTTGAGGTTCGAGTGAAGGACTGGACGTCGGACGCGGCGGTAGCTGATGGAAAGCAGCTTTTTTTTTTCTGTTGCGTAGATGAGCTGGGGAAGAATTGATGTTGGAAAAAGCTTGATCGTCATTGGTTGACGAGACTTTGGGCGATGGAAATAGTGGGGACGTGAGAGGACGTCAAGGCTTCCTGACTAGGAATTCAGTTTTTGACACTTTATTGCTTTCGGAGGATTTGGAAATAACTTCGCTGAGCGGAAGATTTCGGACTTTCAACTTGTATTCAAACACATGAGATGATGATAACTAAGAACTCTCGGCGGCGCTGTGTGAACTCTTGCCAAGTGTGTATTCTCCCCCTTCAATCACCGCCCTGATCCCTCGGCGCTCGTGTGGAACGCCGTCTTCTAGATTCATGCCTTGCCCTTGTGTTTCTGTATACAAATCGCTCGTATCTCTGTTGGTGTATGGTATCACGAGGCTTGACGAATGGAGTGGGGATGACATCCGCCGGATCTGCTGAGCTTAAGGCAGGCGAGCGACTTCAACATCAGCGAGCCTAGCTTTTCAAAAGAGTTAGTTTGATTTCCACCGGGTAACACTGAGAGACATATTTTGTGTCTCTGAAAGGGGGCGTATAAGCAATTTCGGGGAAAAGGTCAATGAGCGTGGTAAGCCCCATTGCGACGGCGAGAATGAGAAGCCCAATGAACATAGGATCGTTTATTTGGAGCTTCCGAGAGATATATCGTTGGATATTTTGTTGGTTATGATATCTTGTACGCTTCTCACGGGGGGAGATGGGCCTTTAGACCTTTGGGCGTGACGAATATGTGAGCTCGAGAGCCTCAAGGGGGGAGTCAACCAAGTAGATGAGATAGCGGGCTTGAAGACCGTGGTTGAGATAGCTGTATAGAATCGAAGATTTCGGGAGCCGGAGATGATTCGTGATGAGGAGGAGATTGGGCGGAACATATAATGCCTCCGCACAATAAGTGCGCGCGCCGTCTGCCCTTTGGACAGTGGGCAAGCTGCAGCGCGACCTTTTGAAGAATACAGGGACGATGTATCCAGGTCATCTCCTCTACACCTCCAGATTGATAAAGGCGATAGGCTCATATGCCTACTTATATCAAAGACTGATGTTCAAACCCAGCTTTTGGCATCACCGTCTTTAGGTAGCAACAAGATATACAGCCAAGGCACGTCTGAATGACCAGAATGGTGGCAAGAAAGAGCTTAACGACGGTGCGACTATATTTCACGGCGGTTACTATGGCACACATACTGGGGTCGTATGCGAACTCGAACTTGTATGTTATCGAAAGTAGGCTGCAACACGGCCATGATTGAGTGTTGACCTGTAAGGATACCACCACTCCGGTCACCAGTTTGTCCTGGCCCTGCTGTTGCTGGTGCTAGGACTGGATTGAAAAGGCCTATATGGACTTTATCGGTCTGGTAGTCATGCGGAAAAAAGCACATGGCGAAATTGTCGATGGAATATACCAAGAGCACCTGGTGGCGCAAGTGTAGCTGTGCAAGCTATACGGCCTGAGCACTGCTCGATTGGCTTCCTTTGCTTGGCAATGAGTGAGACATGGGTCAGCTTGACGAGTGTCTGGGAATTAGCTGGCGATTGAGTCCGTAGAGATCGACGTTTCACTATATGTAGTCAATAGATACATATTCAATGGCCTCGTTGATCCAGAGGGCGAGCTTCCGACGGAGATGACTGCTGTGGGGCGATTGGCGAGCACCAATGGAGAAACAAGGCATATTTTCGCCACTGAAGGTCTCAGATCGAGTTTGAGCAGGGTGTTCATGTCGTTCTCTTAGGAATAGCTGAGCAAAGGGCTTGTCGAAAAGTGCCGCGTAGCAAGCCGGGGGAGTTACGTGGTTAAGATTGAGTGCAACGAGTAGATGGCCTCTATCACCAATTTCCACGCTAAGAATCGATGAAAAGAAAGACTCAACTAGAATATATGATCGGAGCAAAAACATGGAGAAGGATGATAGAAGCTTCAGGTGAAGCTAGGGTTCAGCAAGATCGTAGGACGTTAAAGAAAGAAGGAGGACAGGAGGTTGTATCCAAGCCACACAAGAGTTTGTCAAGCCACAAGTCTGTAACTATGCTTGACAGCCGCACAGACCCATCCGGTAGCTCGTTCACCCGCAGCCGCAGCGATCCGGCGTGTGATTGGTTGGAGGCTTTCCCAAATTTCTAAACTGGCGAAATAGTACGAGCTCTCAGAAAGGGATTCGTGATCCTTACCAGCATCCACGTTGACACCAATTGCCAGAGATGGCGAACCCCAATGCGATGCGGCCGTCGATAGGTCGCGTATTGCGCCTCCAGGAGACTCGGCAATGGCTGTCCACGACACCCGCGACGGCCACCCAACCCCGAACCGCAACGGCATGCTTCTCGACTTCGGCTGCGCACTCGGTGCGCAAGACCCGCGACAACAATCGCCTCCGAGGTGTCAGTACCATGAAGAGATCCGGTCCCCGTGAGCCGCTCTCCGTATCATGGGAGACGCTGCCCAAGCCGTCAGACTACAAGCGTGAGGTTCCTACGGACCCGAACCACGGGCTCTGGGACTTTTTCTACGGCAAGAACAAGCTCTTGAACACGCCCAAGGAGGACCAGTCTCATGGCCGTGCATGGACAGTGGAGGAGCTGAGAAAAAAGAACTGGGAAGACCTCCACTCGCTGTGGTATGTCTGTCTGAAGGAGAGAAACCGCATTGCGACGACGAGTCTCGAGCGTGAGAGACGCAAAGTCGGTTTCGGAGGATTCGAGGCCAACAGCAGGGACGAGACGGTTCGTATTGTGTCTACCACATGACTTTTCGGAGATGGCTGCTGACCGGCGCTTGTTTAGGTTGTCACGACAATGAAGGCGATCAAGCACGTCTTGACCGAACGTTTTTACCTCTGGGAGGATGCGCGCAGATTGGCCGAGAACGACCCCGAAATCAATCTCTCTGGTGAAGGAGAGGCATACACGCCGCTGGCAGGATACGAGAATATGGAAGAGGGCAACAAGTACCTCGCCGAGGAGGTAGAGGCCGCAGCTGTCGAGTCACCAGTTATCGAGGCTCAAGCCGTCGAGGCGTCCGTCGAGCCTCAGGCAGAGAAGAAGGAAGCCGCGCCTGTTACGCCAGAGGCTGAGGAAGAGGTCGAGGTCAAGGTGAAGCCACCGCACCCGGCGAAGAAGGCCAAGCCCAGCAAACCGGTTGAGAGCAAGCCTGCGCCGGCGATGCCCAAGCCGAAGATCTGAGCGGCTCTGTTTGTTGTCTCCCCATTCAGCGCGAGGGTCGCAGACGGGAGAGTCATGTATCATTGTATCCAGACATGTATAGAATCTTGTACGATACGAATATTTTGTGCCAGGCGTATTTTGGAAGTCATTCCCCAGACATCATTCTCACTCTTGACACCGCTAGCAACATGCAATTGTCGACGAAGATTTAGAGCGTGCGTGATACAACAGCAACGCTTGCCATGGTCAACTTGAGAAAGGATTGAATAAGATCTACAGAAAGGTCTTGCATAACAGAGAGAAACTGAATAATAGATGAGACTTGTATTCGCATAATGTTACAGAACTGGGACGGGGAAGGGCGGGAGCTGGGTCCTTGTAGCAGGGACAAGCCCACTCACACCGCCGAGGGCGCCAGGTACACGCAGAGCAGACAAAAGTCGAGGTACCTTTTGAGCTAAGGTACTTGCAACTTTACGGC